TATCGAGACTCTTCCGCCAGTTCAGTACAAATAAGAAATTTGCGATCTCTAAAACAAAATACGGCGGAATCGGATAAACTTGATTCGCGTGCAACCTCGCGTCCACTTTCTCGAGTTTCTTCGACTCGCATGAAAACTGGCCGTGGCGAGTTCTCGAGGAGAAGCCTTACCTTTGCGGGACGCGCTCCTATTAAGAGCACGAATAGGAACGAGTCGTACAATGCAGGCGCGGCGCAGCAGCGTTGGATTTTGCAAGCGGCGAAGGAAGCAAAAGAAGTCGCAGATGCGAAATTCCTCCGGGTGACTGTAGGGATCCGAAAGATCCGAGCTTTCGAAATAACAATAACGATTTTTAATCGATTTATTTTTTGCGAGAAATCAATTTTTATAAGAAATTTTTTATAAAAGGGGCTGTTTTAACCCTTTCACCTGATTGGAATCATGTTAAAAAATTATTTTTCATTTCGTTCAAAGACACACTTTGATAAAATGAAAATAATGAGAATGGGCGAGCCAAGCAAGATTCTTGATGCTATATTATTAAAAAACAAACAGTTTATTAAAGCATATGTTTCAACCCCAATCGGGTCATTCTCAGTGTTAAATAACGCAATTTAAATTTCCAACGGAATTCATGAATTATTCTAACAACTCTAAATTATAAAAACATATAACGTAATTATACGAACAAAAACTTATAAAAATATATTGATTAAATCCATCGCTTTGATTGCGAAATACGCTCCAGATACATTATTAAATCACTTTGTAGTCGTCAATGATTGTCTTACAGTATCTGGAGCGTATTTCACAATCAAAGCGATGGATTTAGTTAATATATTTTTATAATTTTTTGTTCGTATAACAACGTTATATGTTTTTTTATAATTTGGAGAATGATTAGTTATTTCCGTTTGAAATTTAAATTGCATTATCGTTTTAACGTTGAGAATGATCCGATTGAAGTCGAAATACATATATGTTTTAATAAACTGTTCGTTTTTTAATAATATTATAGCATCGAGACCTTGCTTTGCTTGTAGCCCTATTCTCATTATTTTAATTTTATAAATTATTTTATACATTATTTTTAATACATCACTTTGATAAGTAATTTATACTAAATAATTTTTTTCAAAATGTTGACTATTTTTTTAGCATTATTCTGTACGTCTGATCTCAGATAATGTCGACAGGATTAAATAATTTCAACGGAAATGTTTTCAAATTTAGTGTACATTAAATTGTACACAAAGTCTAAAGAGGTTAAATCGATCTCTTTATAAAGAATTTCTTATTTTCTTTTTTTCTTTTTTTTTTTACAAAGAGAGCTAGGTATTTCAAAATTAATGTTTTATTTAAAAAGAGAAAACACAATTTTTATCAATTCGGAGATCGCACATTTCTAAAGCCTATATCACACTACGCATTGGAGGATTGCAAATTGAGAATTAGAATTCAGCCAATTAAAGCGAAATATAATAGATTAAAATTAAAATTATCCAATTGGTCAAGTCTTCAATTTACAATTCTCAATCTCCAATAGATAGTGCGACATAATGGGACATAAGTAACCGACGGAATGTGTCGTAAAATGCTAATTTGCGACTTATTTATACGCGAGAACACTTTAGCGGCTGTTAAATGCTCATTGCTGATTTAAATTGTGTCGATAAATATTTCGAGTGTGTTGCGCCGATTGCGCGGTAGTGGCTCGGGATGACTATTATCTGGGGATCGTAATTGATTGTCATCCGGTAGTGCCCCACAGTACAGCATGAATATTGTACCCGGTTTCGACGTCGCCGCGCAATTTCGCTGATCTTATCGGGGGATATCGGCCAGCGCGAAACCGTCGGCTGGCGTGCGGCCAATCGACATAACTTTTAGCGCTGCTTTTGACGTGCCGTACCACGCGGGAAAACGCTGATTCCGCGAAGCTGCAGCGAAGCTGATCTCTCGCGAAGTCTGTCCTCGGGGCAATTCCGACAATTCGAAACTACTTCTAAGCGCATGAAGAAATAGAAGTATTATTATCGTCGATGAGTTCTCAGATTTGTATGCGAAGCTCCGCGGGAATGAATACATTTGTTTACGACAGTGGCAATGATTGGCGCAAAAAAAAAAAAACATTTCTCCTCGTGTCTACGAAGTCAGAGATCCAATGTACTTCAGCTTTAGATCGTGCAGCTAGAAATTCATGGTTCTCCGTCTGAAACATCTCAAGCGCCATTTACGCTATTGTACTTATGTCAAATCATTTGTCAACCGTGCCATCCAGAGACGCGACAAGTCGGGAGTGATGGATGCGGCTTCTCCTTCGGCTTCCCCGTACATTCGACCGACGGAGAGAACCTTTTCATCGAGATACTTCGTACTAACAGCTAGTGCTTCGTTGGAGTTAGAAATCTTCCGACGTGGCCAGGCACAAAGACGAATTTCACAAACGACGAGCGGTGAAATGAAAGAAGATAGATTTCATGGACGAGGCAACGAAATATAAAAACGTCCGTAAGACGTTCGGAAGACAATGAAAAGAAACGGCCTCGGACTCGATGTCACGTCGAGAGAAGTTGAATTGGTCGCCGCATTGAAAATTTGCAACCAGGATGCATGGGACGTACATCTCCTTTTCAAGAGTAGACCTCCGTCGTCGGTAGCGTCTCCTAATGAGTCTGGTCGCTGGTAAATATTTATTTATTCGTTCCGTGGGCGAGAGGAAAACAATGCGCGCGAGACATGAAATTATGGCAACTGAGAGAAAGGGAGACACGACGGATGAGCCGTTTTGAAATTACCCCCTCGTTAGGGGGTAGTTATTATGACCAGGGAAAATTACATGCCGCGCGCGGAGGGGGGGGGGGGGGGGGGGGACCTGTTCAACCCCGAATGCCGTGGTCCGAAACCTCCGGGCCTGGGTGAAACTGACACAGGTAATTTGTCCGGCTCGCGATAACCACCGGCGTCTCTCTTTGGTGATTGCGGAATTATTAACTCGCCCGAGGTAACGTAATGACGAGGCATTAGTGCGGTTTGCGCCCCATCGCGCCGATTGCCTTTCTTCCGTTCCTTTTCTTGATCTTTCTCTCTCAATTTGAGAATTAACGGCCGTTACACCACGGTGCAAAGGAAGATATTATCTCTCGCTCGTAATCGTTTATCACCGAAGCGAAGAGTCGCGGAATCAACGAGGGGTAAATTTATCGAATTGCGGCAACTCAATGGACATACGTTGCCGCGATAAAGCGAGAAAGCTCGTGTCATGACGACGAGTTGTAGAGTCGCCCCCGTAATCAACCTGAGAGCTCTCAAAGTAACCCGAGTGTGTTTGCCAACCCTAGAAAGATCACTCACAAAAATGACGTATGTCTTTGCCGCCTTCTGTCTTTGCTTGTATACGTCAAGTCGCGGTCGCCGGATGTAATCAATTTTTCGATTGAAAACATCGCTCCTATCCACAATTTAGACCAGTATGGTGGGCTACCGTTTGAAATTGGTTTCTCTGGGATTGAATGGCATCGCAAAATGGCATCGTTTGGACGAACCGATTGAAATATGTATAATTGTTCGGAATAACCCAATTTAAATATCAGCGCTATGCGCGTTACAAATCCCAGTCTACATTTTTTATACAGGACAAACAAGACATGAATCTACCAGATCAAAAATTGCAATATTTCTTATAATACATCCTGATGAGAGCCGTACATAGCCGTACTGCGTTCGGAGAGAGTCCTATTAGCGCTACTGCATTATTCGATTCTTGTCTGAAGAAGGATAAAGTAGATTAGAATGACAATTAGAATGCTGACAGCGCGCTCTCCGAACGCAATGAAACGCAGTTTTGTCCTAATAGAATATTTTAAACGCTTAAAGATATTTTAGTTTGGAACTTTTTCAATCGACAAAACTACGTGCTTGGATTGAAAACGCATAGTGTTTTGTCTATTGAAAAAGTTTCAAACTAAAATATCTGTAAGTGTTTAAAACATGAGGACAAGAATAAAACACATTACTTTTTACAGTGTATCGATAAGTAACGAAACAAATAAATATGTAAAAGTAAAAATCTTTGGCACGGATAATAAAACATTGTATTTTTCTAGTTAGGTACCTTTAATCACTAAACTAATGATTTTGTAATGAGTAATTATTAAGATTACCCCTACAATTAAAGAAATACTAGTTTAGTGATTAATCATAGTTAGAAAAATAAAATATTTCTGATATCATATTTATATTATTAGCATCTCAGATCGATTGTGGTTAATGTCCGAACGTTTCGACGCACAA